GACCTACTGCTGGATATGCCGGCCGCCCCTCACGAGACGCAAGTGAAACACGGCTGGAGTGCTGAGGACCGGTCGCTCAACATCTTCGTCAAGGATGACGACCCGACCACTTTCCACAGACACCCCGTCGCTCAGAGCACCGACTGTATCCGCGGCAGAGTCGGTTACACCAGAGGAATGCATTTGTGGCAAATCACGTGGTCTACCCGCCAGAGGGGCACACACGCCGTGGTCGGTGTGGCCACCAGTGAGGCCAATCTGCACACAAACGGCTACCAGTCCCTCGTGGGCGCCAACACCGAGTCGTGGGGCTGGGATTTGGGCCGAAATAAGTTGTATCACGACTTGAAGAATAGTCCCGGAGTTACATATCCGTCGGTGCTGTCCAACGACGAGACGTTCGTAGTGCCCGACTCTTTCTATGTGGTACTGGACATGGATGACGGCACCCTTGCCTTTGTGGTGGACGGACAGTATTTAGGGGTCGCCTTTCGGGGCCTCCGCGGCAAGAAGTTGTACCCAATCGTGAGCTCAGTGTGGGGTCACTGCGAGATCACAATGAAATACATCGGAGGACTCGATCGTAAGTGTCTTACCATTCATTGCATTTGATATATACTTAAGATAATAGATATTTTTCGACACATTTTGTGTGTATTTGATATGCTTTTGAAGTAATGGTTCGCATAATTGATATGTTATTGTCTTTTGTTTTTTGCTTCGTGTGTTTGTCGCCATAAATAGCGGAACCGCTACCACTAAAAGACATTTGTAGACTAGTTATCCGTCGAGAGGCAGGAAAGTCGAGAATATCGAAGTTGTCTGAAGAGCTGAATCTTCCCAAAGCGATCACCGATTATCTCCTCTATCAATGAATGACTCGTTATTACCTTGATTATCTTTATAAATAAGTGCCTCATTATTACCGATACCAACAAACACTCATTATTTGCTAATTATTGCTATGATTACTGTATTATTAATGGAAAACAAATTCTTTATTGCATTCTCTCTTAATTCTATCATCAAATACAAGAATATAATTACAAAATATATATTAGTTATAAATAATAATAAATTCTTATAATTGTATATTTAATAATATTTATTGTCTAATCAAACGCTCCTGTATTTGTATGTAATTGACTCTAAATGTGTTTAATTTCCACACATATTATGATTTCTTAAACAATACTATGAATCGGAAGGATGTCATCAAACAATACAAAAACACAAAAACATGACTTCTCTTAATATTTTTATTCTTCCAATCGCTGAATATTTTATAATTAATTTTAGTTTTTAAGTAATTGTTTGAATTATTGTATTTATAAAATTCTTTTAAAAGTTTATATCATAAATAAAAGGAAATTTTTTAAATATCATATACATTTTTATTTTATTATAATATTTCTACTCAATAATATTATTGAGTATTAATTTGTGTATTTGTTTTCAAGTTTACTGTTATGTTTGAGTCAGAGAACCAAAAGTTTAGTGAATTATGATTTATAAATGATTTGATAACAAGAATATACACTTGAAAATGAAAATCAAAACATAAAAATTCCTTAACCTTCGCGACTGATATGAGAATTGTTTTGGTAGTTATATACTCAATATATCTGTATAAAGTACAGTATTAGTCATTGATTTAGTGATTAAATGTAAACTCACTTTAAATCGAGTTATAACTTATGTTAATAGTCTAATAGTTTACAAAATACTGACTATAAACTGATAATAAACGTATGATATTTGTATTTACAGTGCATTAGATTTGATAGATATATTGTATGACTGAATTCATACCATGTATACGAGAATTGTTTTATTTTTCTCAACTATTTCATGATTATTATTGATTTCATTGTTTTTTATTTACATAAAAACCTATTATTAAAGCTATTTGTAGAAACAGATTAATTCCAATAATTATACGACTTTAAGATCCTTTGATGATAAACATAAGTTTGAGAAAAACAAAAATATATATCAGCACAATAGGTTTGATGAATAATGCTTTTTTAGTTTTATTTGTAAACATTTACTTATCGCCAGTATTATAAATATAACACAATTTAATATTAAAGTGAAGATATTGTTATAATCAGTTTAAGTTAATACACTGCACTGTACTGTTTTGGTACAATTTGACAACGTCTGTCCCATTAAAGCCTAGCCTTAAGGTGACGTTCAGTAGTATAAGACTTAATAATAATGGCATACAATAGACTTGGAATACGTCTAAAATATACATAAAACTTCATAATTTAGGGGTTGTGTACATCTCTAAAATCCCGGTGTGTTTGGTATGTCGTGTGTTGGAGTAGATTCAGTGTGTGATGAGCTCTCGAGACTCGAGACCATCTGCTCTCTATTTTATACCTCCCGGCGCTCATAACCTCCACTCTCTGTACATAACTCTGTGCCACACGTCGTCTCTAATACCTCTCTCGTGAAGAATAGCTGTAGTCTTAGTGTCTATTATACGCAAAACGTCTCATAATTCGGTGTTTGACTTGAATTTTATTTCATATATCAATACATTTATTCACCGGTAATGCCGTAAATACGAGACGAGAGGGAGAGACCGATAGATAAGCTCAGACACACTCCTCCTCCTCCCGCTCCTGATTAACGATAGTGTCGTTCCGCTTAAAAATATATGTCTAATACTTTATGGCAATTAATTTGTGAACACTTTTTTTAAATCCGGATTATTTGCACATAAATTTGTTTTTAAAGTCTGTCGGCAATGGCATATATTTCTAATTAAATACTTTAATTAATCAATTTATTAATTATATTATTTATCAGATTTTGAGAGGGAACTCACATTTAAAACTTCAGTAGATTTTCGAGATTTATTTTTAGCCTAATTTAATAAACATTTTTCTTGTAAACAAATTTATTATTTTTTAGATTTTAATAATTTAAATATCAATTGTGTGTTAAATAATCTCTTTATTATTAAGTTATGTTTTTTGGTTTTATTTATAAGTTTTATTACACAATACATACAAAGATATAAAATTGGGTCAAAAACAACAAGAATTTGTTTGAAACCTCCTTTTAATTCAATGATGTATTAGCAGAGAGAAAAGAGTTGTGTTTTCGCAAAGGATTATTATTGTTATCATTATTTTGTGAAGAAATTTATTTTTAAACATCTTTTTCTTATTATTAAAGTCATGTTAATTATGCCTAAGAGTTGTTGTATGCGAGAGAGAGAGAGAGAGAGAGAGAGAGAGAGAGACTTGCAATACCATTGACTTGTCATTCATTGCTCCCAATTGAAGAGTTACTGTTATCTTCCCTCTCAAAGATTGTTAACCAGTTTTATAACTCCTTTTAATATCAGTGCCACTAATGACACCAAATATAATATATTAACCAACACTGCATCCCTGTACAGGAGTTTAACAAGAGTTACTGTTATCTTCCCTCTCAAAGATTGTTAACCAGTTTTATAACTCCTTTTAATATCAGTGCCACTAATGACACCAAATATAATATATTAACCAACACTGCATCCCTGTACAGGAGTTTAACCAAAAAATTTTCGAGGTTTTTGTGTGCATTTTATTGTGTCTATTGTAGTGGTGTTATGAAGTTTTTGTTGACATGAATTTTGCATTTTTCCGTATTATACCTAACTTACGACCGGCCAAGAGTTTAACCAAAAAATTTTCGAGGTTTTTGTGTGCATTTTATTGTGTCTATTGTAGTGGTGTTATGAAGTTTTTGTTGACATGAATTTTGCATTTTTCCGTATTATACCTAACTTACGACCGGCCAAACAGGTCTTCCCTTTTATAACAATAAGGTTTCATTCTAAACATCTGCTCTCTCTCTCTCTCTCTCTCTCTCTCTCTCTCTCTCTGTCGATTATTTTTAACATTTTAAATGTGATATATATTTTTAAAAGTCAAACTTGATGTATAGCATATAAGTTTCATACTAAATCCCCTAAATCTAAAACAATAATTCAAAAGGTTTACTATTTAATTTTACCGGGTAGAAATTAATTTAGGTATATTATTTCTATATTAAAATTTGAGAGACGATAGGATACAATGAAAACCCATAATAATTAATTATGATAGCATTAATTAATTTAAAATATAAAATTTTTAAACTATTACTCGAGGTGGTATTGAGATTATTAATAAGCCATGTCAATCAATGGGTACAAATTGTTATATATAGAAAATGTGCCATTCATTATTCACTACAGTAGATGTATACCATTGATGGACACAAATAGGAATCCTTCAAAATACAAAACATACAAAAGACCTAATCTTTCATTCATAAAGTATTTTATTATTCCGAGTCCATAATTATTTTTT